TACTCCCTTTCCTACTCCAGTCACAGTGTTCCCTAGACGAGGTGTCAATAAAGCTCCATATACCGCACGCCATGTGATTCGGATAGGGGAAGGTGAGCGTACCAACTCCACTCGTCGCACCAGCGACAGTGCCCTTGACATCACCCCTTCCAATGGCACCAGTGGTCTTACTAACAGTACCTTGCACGCCCTTGGTCGCTGAACCGACAGTATAGTATGCGTTATCGACCGCGCCTGTAGCTGTCTTGCCCACGTTGTCCGTTACATGCTTGACTGGCTTTCCTACACCACCAGGTAGCTTGTCCAGCCCCTTGCCAGCGTACCCAGTCACGCCATTGACTGTGCTGTTTACACCCGTGGTCGCGGAGTCGGTGATAGTGTTGAGACCTCCAGTCGTCGTACCAACAGTCTTGTTCAGAGTGCCTGTGGCGGTATTGACCCCCTTGCCAACAATGCCCGGTTGCTTCTTCGCGGCTAGCGTGGACTGAGGAGTAGGTTGGCCTGGAGCGGGATGAGCTTTTATTACGGAGAGAGGGGTTGGGTAAGTACCATCAGGGTTTGTTTTGGTAGGGACCGTACCGTCTGGGTTCACTTTGGCCGGCGTCCTCTTAACGGGAGTTGCTTTGGCTGGGGTAGCCTTTGTGGGGGTTGCCTTTGTTACAGTAGAAGACGTAGCAGTTGTGGTCTTCTTCACTGATGCAGCGCCAGTCGTCTTACTGACTGCGCTGGCAGGCTGAGATTGCGCTCCGCCTGTAACCGGGTTCTTACGTATTGGCAATGGCTTGGTTGTGCCCAAAGGTGTGCGTTGGCGTACTGGCTTTGAAGTTTCACTAATCGGTGTTTTGCCTGCAGTGACGGGCGTTTTCTTTACAGGTGTAGTAGTAGACGCGGGCTTGCTTGCTGAAGCAGCGGTCACTGGCTTCTTTATAGGCGTTGAAGTCGTGGTTGGAGTCGCTTTTACAGGCGTGGTTGTGGTCTTTGCTGAAGTTGAGGCAGATGCGCCTGCTGCATTCAGCTTCCTCGGCACTCTCTTCACCGGTGCAGCAGCCGATCCTGTGGTGTCCGTAGCTGTCGCAGCAGGCTTCTTCACTGGCGTAGCTTTGGCAGCTGATGTTGCTGTTTTCGCTGGGGCCGTTGTGGTTGATCCAGCCACTTTGGAGATGTTTCCAACGCTCGCTGGAACAGATTAGTCCATGTCCTTCATATTATATGCTAGCTTACACTGGAGTGCAGCATTCTGCTGCTTGAGCTGGTCTACGGCTGACATTTTGGAATAGTAACGTGCGCTTTAGAAGATGAGGCTGAATGATCAAGTATCGCAATAACAGCAGCAAGCGTGGATGGGCTTTAGCAGTCCAGATGTTGTACCAGGAAATCGCGTTCTAGACATCATGAACGCGCTTCCTCATACGTCATGCACCCTTCACATCCTTGCTGTTGTGGAGGTACGAAAGTGGCCCAGGCCGTGGAGATCCTGTTTTTTCGGACACGGGACGATCGCCGTTACATGGGCGGCCTTGGACCCTGACGTTGTTAGATCGATCACGACACCCAACTGGCGTCTCTCGAACCAAGGTGCGCGAAAATAGGTACTAGAAATGATGGAACAGATTCGAGCCATGTTGTTATTGACGATGAACAACTGTTGCTGCATGTCAGCCAGCACACCACAAAAAAAGCAAAAGAAAAGCAAGCAGCCGAGATCAAGATTGTTTTGAACATTTCATCATTCATGAAAACTACCCAGAGGCAAGTCTACGTAAGATACATTTCGGGATATCCATTACTCGTGATGCATAAAGTACCACCACTCTAAGACGCCATCGAAGATTAAGCTCCGTCCATCATGCAAGTGAGGTGTAGAAAGTGAAAGAAAGCCATGACACATGAAAGGGATATCAGAGCGCCGACCAAACTTTTCGAAACCAGCCAAGACGGGCGATGCGCTTAGTCAACCTCCTCCATGGCGCTCTCGCCAGCCGCTGCTGGTGCCTCGGCGGAGGCGTCGGTCTTCTCTTGCTCGGTCTCGACCTCCTCGTCGACGTTCAAGCCAAGAGAGACGAGCTTGTGGATGCGCTCAGCGTACTGAACGGGCTCGTCGATGGTGAAACCAGAGACAAGAAGCGAGGTCTCGAACAGAAGCAGGGTGATGGACTTGACGGTGCGGTCATCCTCACCATCAGCCTCAACCTTGCGCTTGAGCTCCTTGATGATAGCGGACTTGGGCGAGATCTCGAAGGTCTTCTTGGAAGACATGTACGAGCTCATGGAAGTATCACGGAGAGCCTGAGCCTTCATGATACGCTCCATGTTGGCTGACCAACCGAATTGGCCGGTACGGATAGCGCACGGTGAGCCGACAAGCTTGTGTGAGACAACGACCTTCTCGACCTTGTCACCGAGGACAGTCTTGAGGCTCTTGGCGAGACCCTCGAACTCCTTCTCCTCTGCCTCACGCTCCTTCTTCTCCTCCTCGGACTCCTCAAGCTCGAAGTCCTTGGTGATGTCGACAAGCTTCTTGCCGTCGAACTCCTTGAGCTGAGTCATGGCGTACTCGTCAATGGGGTCAACGAGGAAGAGAACCTCGAAGCCCTTGTCCTTGAGGGTGTCAAGGAAGGGCGACTTCTGGACAGCCTTGAGAGACTCGCCAGTGATGTAGTACATCTGCTTCTGGTGCTCGGGCATGCGGGTGACGTAGTCGGTAAGGGAGGTCTGCTCCTCACCGGACTTGGTGGAGTTGAAGCGGAGGAGCTTGGCGAGGGAAGCGCGGTTCTGCGAGTCCTCGTGGATACCAAGCTTGATGTTCTTGCCGAAGGCAGAGTAGAACTTGTCGAACTGCTCACGGTCCTCGGCGATCTCGTTGAAGAGCTCAAGGGTCTTCTTGACAATGTTCTTGCGGATGACCTTCATGATCTTGTTCTGCTGGAGAGTCTCACGAGACAGGTTGAGGGGAAGGTCCTCGGAGTCAACGACACCCTTGACGAAGCTGAGCCACTCGGGGATCAGGTCAGTAGCGTCATCGGTGATGAAGACACGGCGGACGTAGAGCTTGATGTTGTTCTTGGTCTTCTTGGTCTCGAAGAGGTCGAAGGGAGCGCGCTTGGGGACGAAGAGGATGGCACGGAACTCGAGCTGACCCTCAACAGAGAAGTGCTTGACGGCAAGGTGGTCCTCCCAGTCGTTGGAGAGGGACTTGTAGAATGAAGCGTACTCCTCAGTGGTGATGTCTTGAGGGTTGCGAGTCCAGATGGGCTTCTGCTTGTTGAGCTCCTCCTCCTCGATCTTGGACTCCTTGACCTTCTTGGTCTTCTTCTCCTTCTTTTCCTCCTCCTCGTCGTCGACCTCCTCGACCTTGGGCTTCTTCTCGTCACCCTCGGCAGTCTCCTCGGCAGCGTCCTCATCCTCGACCTCCTTCTCGGTCTCCTTCAGGACGTGAAGGTAGATGGGGTATGAGATGAACTCGGAGTGCTTCTTGACGACCTCCTTGATCTTGGACTCGTTGAGGTAGTCCATCTGCTCATCCTTGAGGTGGAGGATGATCTTGGTACCGCGGCCGATCTGCTCGCCCTCGGTGTCCTCGGTGATCTTGAAGGTACCACCAGCGCTGGACTCCCAGACGTACTGCTCGTCATCGTTGTTCTTTGAGACGACGGTGACGCGGTCAGCGACAAGGTATGCGGAGTAGAAACCAACACCGAATTGACCAATCATGGAGATGTCGGCACCGGCTGACAGAGCCTCCATGAACTGCTTTGTACCTGAGCGGGCAATGGTACCCAGGTTGTTGATGAGGTCGGCCTTGGTCATACCGATACCGCTATCTTGGATGGTGAGGGTCTTGGCCTCCTTGTTGGGGATGATGTCGATGCGGAGATCCTTGCCGCTGTCGAGCTTGCTTGGGTCTGAGAGAGCTTCATATCGGATCTTGTCGAGGGCGTCGGAGGCGTTGGAGATGAGTTCTCGCAGGAAGATCTCCTTGTTTGAGTAGACGGTGTTGATGATGAGGCCGAGCAGCTGAGAGATCTCAGCCTGGAACTCGAAGGTCTCCCCAGACATGGTGGTGGTTGTGTGGGAGTAGACTGTAGGAGAGAGAGAGAGTCAGACAGAGCTCGCAATGGGTGCCTCGATGCAGTGCAGCCGACTAGGCTGTGTGAGTGTGGGGAAGACGTACAGTTAGGCGGGGTAGTTCGACTTGCTGAGCTCTTCTGTAGCGTGTGGTGAAGAGGAGACTAGAAAGACGAGGTTGTCTGTGTAGTTGCAATGGGAGAGAGCAATTCGATGAAGAAAAAGTAGTGGGAGGCGTCGAGTTTGGGGCTGATATAGCCTTTGGTGGAGCTCGAGAATCTTCTAGACAGAGCGGCAGAACTGCAGAGAAGGCCGCGGCGGAGCCAATCAGGGTGGGGCAGCCCTTCCAATTGTGTCTCACCGCCAAACGCGCCTTCCCCGGCAACGCCTAGTAGCGAGGGGCAGAACAATCGCGACTTCTGCATCTGCCTGCCTGTCCCCGCCAGCTACGCGCAAACCCTCGAGCAGCTTGCTTCTAGAAACCTCTGCTCTGCTACTGCCACTGTCCCTATCAAGCACTGAAATACCCACCACGCCCGCCATGGCTTCCCGTTTCGCGCGGCTCAAGTGCCAGCTCGCGCTCGAGCTCCAGAGCATCAGCCTCGCGCAGCCTTGTACAGCCTCACCCATAGCTAACACTCAGTAGCTGCCTTGCGAAGCACCGCCCGCCCCGTCCGATCCGATCCGAGACTCAGACATCGTTTACAACAGAAGGGATACAAGGCCTTTGAGAGGATATGTTGGCGACAAATGGGAGACGCTTCCGTGATGGGTAATACTCAGAGTCACACAGACAGTCAGATTGGTCCGCTTCGATTCATGCTTCTCTCACTCTCGTTGGGAACAGAAAAGTCGTATACAAGAGCGGAAGAAATCATGTCAGTCACAGCCCACATTCATTCGTCGTTTGATACGTGTATTCATATAGCCATCTCTTAGATAAAAGTCCTCATAAACTCTCCCAGCGCCATGATAGCCATAGCCTGGCCATATGGCATACTGGTGATGGCGATGTCCTTGTAATGCTGCAAATCGTGTCCCATACCAGTTCCAAAACTTGTCTGCTCCAGCTCACCCTCAGCGCTGATGCAGCCCATGACAGCCTTGATCGCCTTGACTGCGCTCTGTAGGTATACGTCTCCGCTAATATATCGTTTCCGGCACGCCTTGAGCATACCGTATGCAAAACCTGCTGTGGCCGACGCCTCTTCGTAGCTGCCTTCTGAGACAGGAATATCAAGAAGTGTACGCCACATGCCGTTCTCGCCTTGCAACTTCAGCAGTGCTTGACATTGCGACTCAAGGATGCCGATGAGGAATTGACGGAGGGGGTCTGTCTCCTTGAGGTCAAGCAACTCAATGAAATCCGGAATCGCAATCGTCAACCACGAGTTACCACGCGCCCATCGCGCGCGCGCAAAGTTGTGGCCGACCTCCAACCCACCCTTGTCCTCCCACTTCCAGCCGTGGAAGAACAGGCCTGTGGATGTGTCGCAGAGGTACTGGCAGTGCAAGATGAACTGGCGCTTTGCTTCCTCGACGTATTCCGGCCTGTTGAGCGTAAGACCAATCTTTGCAAGAGGCAGTGCGCTCATCATAAGCGTGTCGTCCCATAGTTCATCCTTGTTGAACGAGTTGTACGTCTCGTGTTGGAACCCGCCAAACTTTGTGCGGGGCAGTCCATGCATCACCCACTCAGCCCACGTGTCTAACCAAGGCACAAACGTCTTGTTTCCTGTTTCTTCGTACAGATATGCCAGTGTGAGGAATGGGCTCATGGTGTTGATGTTCTTGGTTGTGCCCTTGCTGAGCTGCTTCTCGAACCAGCCCTTCATAATGTCCATGGTCGCAGTGCTGCCCGTCAGCGTGTAGTAGTGCCACAGACCATAAAGACCTATGCCATGTGTCCACTCCCAGCCGTCCCAGCCTTTTGTGTCGATGACGCGGCCATCGTCGAGTTTGAGGAGGAACTCGCCCGTTGTGTCGTGAATGTTGATCAGGTTATGTGTTAGAAGGAGGATCTTCTCGTCTATTTGGCCTTTGGTCAGACCGTGAACTGTGAGTGTAGACATGGTGGACGCCTTGGTTGAGGTTTATCGCGTTCGCAGAAGGTGTTTGGTGGGCTTGTCGCAAGCAATCGAAATCTGGAGCAAGACAGGCAAGAGTTGAAGGAGGAAGGTATCGAAAAGACCAGATGTTATCACACGCGTAGTCTGCCAAGTGGGTATTACATAGAGCCCGTCGGTCACACGCGTCGGTAGAGCTCAACCCAGATACAGAGCGGGGAGCGAAAACTGGGGAAATCTCAGGGTCCTCAACCGCGTCTATTGCATCTGAACTGCATGCCGCTGCCAGATTCCATCCAGATCTCGTGCCCTGTTGCACCGACTCGTCCATCTCTACCCCGACTGGGAGCTGGGCACACGTGGTGTTGCTCCAGCAGATGGGTTCCTGGAAGACGCGGCTCTTTTCTCATGTCAAGCATCAAACATCAAGACCTTTGACGCCCACTGCTCAAACCTCCCAAGTCCACTGCTAAGATCCCATTTTGGGATCTTTGCCGCACTCGCACTGCATTACGCCGACGCTCGTTGAGGACTATACCGATAGCACCGACGTCAAGGGTCACCAATCGCTTATGTCTTGGAGAGCCGGAAGGCACCGTGGTGGGAAGGAGAACCGCCGTGTAGGAGCTTGGCCGCCTGACTCGACTCTTCCTGGGAAGGAGAACCGCCACCGACGATGCAGGCGGACGAAATCTTCCACCAGCCGCCGCATGCCAGGGAACAAAGCTTCGCATGCCACTCGCACGAGCCTGGCCCATCACATGCATTCCCTCTCACACCCGAGGGGCGGTTCGGGATCATCTATGCCGATATTTTACCAGACTTGGACCATTGCCAAGTGGTGGCACTCTCCACACTGCTTGATCCTTCACAAGCACTCCACAAGACTCCACAAGCTGTTTGGACGGCACCGTGGCGGGGTTGGCGAACCCCAGAGACTAGCGACTCAAGATGCAGCATTGGCGCCCACAGGGTCGCGCATGCAGCACGCCTTTCCAGTATGCTACGTCAAACCGGGATACGGAGACAAGGAGAAAGGAGATAACAACGACTCATCAATATTGGCTAGACATTGAGGTGCAGGTTCTTATCCCAGGATTTGCGGAGTAGCCTGCCAGCATGGGGTAGCTGGAGGCCGGGGAACGCTTGGACGGACAATCTAAAATCGGGTAGAAATATCAACTCGACCGCTCTTCCACTTTTTACCAGCTCACTGCAAGTCCTGGGGTCTTTCTTTTGAACCTCATTCTCTTCCGCTGTCAATTTCTCGGAAGCCTATTTTTCAAGATGGCCACTGCCAGAGCCAGCGCCGATGGCGTACACAACGCACCCGAGACTGTTCGTCAATCGGACGATAAGAAGGACATCACACAGGTCGAGCGCGTACTCTCCGTCGGAGACGAGAAAGGCGAGCATGCAGACTACAACCGAATTGACCAGGAAGTTGCCAAATACGCAGGCGCTTCTGAAGTATTTGTCTCCGAAGAAGAGAACAAGCGGTTGAAGAAGATGATCGATCGGCGTGTACTGCCCATTATGGTCATCACGTACTTCTTGCAATCGTTAGATAAGGGTACCATGTCCGCTACCTCAATCATGGGTATCCGTGACGATGTTCCTGGCCTTCTTTCCAAGGAGACTGTGAGTTGCAAAGTCTGTGGGCACTAGTAACGTGTACTGACTCGTGACAGTTTGGGTGGCTCACCACCTGTATCTACCTCGCTGTGCTTGTCGTCGAATACCCAACCAATTGGATTCTCCAACGAGTACCAGTCGCCAAATACCTTGGTTTCAACATCCTCGCATGGAGTACCGTACTTGCCTGCCACGCCCTCTGCTTCAGCTTCCCTGCGCTCGTTGCTGTCCGAACACTCCTCGGTATCTTCGAGGCCGTTTGCCAACCGGCTTTCTTGATCATGACTGGTCTTTGGTACAAGCGTGAGGAGCAGGCTCAGATCGTTACTTACTGGTACATGATGAGTGAGCGGAATACAGTCAAACTCATAGAACAACGACTAACCTCTTCATCTAGACGGTGCCCAGCAGATCGTCGGTGGTCTTCTCGCATACGCCTTCTCTACAATCAGACATCCTAGCTTCAAGGCAAACCCCGGAAATGCGCCGATTAGGTCATGGCAAGCCATCTTCATCTGTTACGGCTGTATCTCTTTCCTCTGGGGACTCTATGTCATTTTCACACTTCCTGATAGCCCTATGCGCGCCAAGTGCTGGTCTGAAGAAGACAAGAAGCTCATGGTTGAGCGTGTTCGCTCTAACCAGACCGGTCTCCAAAACAAGAAGTTCCGTGCCTACCAGTTTAAGGAGGCTCTCCTCGATCCCCAGACCTACTGCTACATGGGTATCCAGATCTTCACTACCCTCCCCACTTCTGGACTCGGTGCCTTCTACAACATCATCATTCAGGATCTTGGTTTTGGTGTCCTCCAGGTTCAACTGCTCGCCATGGTTCTTGGTGTAGTCATTATTGCCACACTCATGGGCTCAGCCTGGATGGTCAAAAAAACAAAGCAAAACCTGTTGACCATGGCTGTTTTCATGATCCCAGCTTTTACTGGCACAATCGTCATCATGACTGTCAAGAACACTAACAACGCCACCAAAGCCGGTCTATTAATCAGTTATTGGATAATCTTCACCTTCTGGGCTGCCCAAGGTCTCGGCATGTCCATGCTGACGCGCAACGTCGGAGGTCAGACTAAGAAGTCTGTCTGCATCACCATGAACTTCTTTGCTTGGTGTGCCGGTAACGCCATCGGTCCCAAGGTCTTCTTTGACGGCGACCCACGCTACCTCAAGTCGCTTTCTATCCATCTCGGATGTTATTCTGCGCTACTCTGTGTCATTGCCTTCCTGAGATTCAACCTCATGCTACGCAACAAGAAGAAGGACCGCGAGTTTGGAAAGGAGATTAGCAATGCTCACGGATTTGACGATCTGACGGACAAGGAGAATCCCAACTTCCGTTATGTTTACTAGGAAATATGTTGTTATGATGGGACGAATCAAGAGCACTCTATGCTGTTGTAGCTACTGTAGCACTTATCATACCAGACAAAAATTGCATAAGCGATGTTCTTGTTACTCAACCCAACCTTGCTCCGCCTACTACTTAATATGTTTATTCCATAATTACTTACCTCTGCATTTCTCATTGGAGGAAACATTCCTCGTCGACCGCTGCTTGTGATTTTGCGCAAGAGAAACACGTCTCTCTAAAAAGCAAAGTCGTCTGTTTACTCGCACGACCGACAAAGTACCAAATATATGACAGGCGTTGAGCATTCGTTTTCACGTGTTCGGAACGAAAGCAGCCACGTGCTAACGCGAATGCTACGTGATTGGGGCGTTGGCTTGGCCTGTCCAAGTTGTAGTGACTCTGTTACATCCTCATTCTGCGTTGACACCTTTCCTGGTGGCTGCTGTGCTGCAAAGTAAACTTGAATGACGCCTTCATAGAAGAGATGGTATATATGGCTGGTAAGTGGACCCCCAGAAGCCGCTGCAACATGGGAGACGTTGCTAATTTTCACGAGCAGTCGATAGAGCCATGTCGCTTGATTGCCATGGAGCTATCGCACTACCCAAGAAAGCCGTGCTTGGAGCCAAATCAATAGGTCGGAGCTTTTCACGATGGCTGTCCCAATACGTAGATTCCAATGTCCCATGGATATCGAATGTGGTATCATTGCGCCCATACCTATTGTTACGTGTGGACACCCTGCTTGTTTTGGCGTCCAGAAGTCCGGACTGTGGAGAGGGATTTGAAACGAAAATGTTTCGTGTATGTATTTTGCTCGTCACATCAGCCTCTAGGCAGACACAGTTGTATCATCGGCTGTTCCACCGATCTTTGTCTGGTATGGCAACTCCTATCATCGCTTCGCGTCATCGTCTACATGCCCTTCCCTATCCAACATCTCGTTCTTCTTAGCACTCCCCTCCAACCCCGCTAAGATTGCCTTGTCCTCTCCCGGAATGCGCATCTCAAAAGTATCCCTGACGACCGCATATTCATAGTACCCACATCGAGCAATCGGCTCCGTCTTCCTCAAATCGATCTTGCCATCAGTCAACACGCGCTCATCGATGTGCACACCGATTACTTTCCCTATCACCACGTCTGCTGACCCCATAGGCGGGTTTCCAGGAAGTCGCAAAGTAGTATAGTACTCGCACTCGAACTTCACCGGACTGCGCATCACCATTGGGATCATCATTTCCTTCTTGCTCTCGCCAGTATTGCCAACTACAACAACTCCACTCAGCTTACTGTCCTCCTTCTCTACACCCGCCTTCTCAAACTCGTCAACACCATATTCTTCTTGCACTGCACTCCTATTTACCTCCTCCCTTAGCTCGTACGTCGCTAGATTCCAAATAAACTTTCCTGTAGCTTCGACGTTGCGGACAGTATCTTTCTGTGAGTTGCTAGGCGTTTGGTTGGCGCTAAACATTACGTATGGCGGGTCGAAGGTGAGATTGTTGAATTGAGAGTAGGGGGCTAGATTTGCGTGGCCATCAGGTGAGAGTGTCGATATCCAGCCTATCGGTCGGGGAAGGACGCATGCCTAGGTTGGGCTTAGTGGCTGCTAAGAGAGTTTTGAGTGTACATAATTCTGATAGATGAATACTGTTTCTGATTGCCTTCATGGCGTCTGAATATCTGGCAAAGCATACTTACTTTGAATGGATCGTACGGTAATCCGTGGTCTTCTTTTCCAGGTTGGTAGAACATTGCAACTTCGTTGACGTGTACTTCACTACAGCTATCTCTCGTGATTCGCTTCTTTTATACCTAGAAAATCTGTAAAGCAGTATTTATCGACCTGGAAGTTCCCGATCATCGAATCATCCTCAGGTAGGCGTTATGTGCTTGTTCGAAGCCGAACCACCTGTTTGGGTCTTTGTCTGCCAGTTAACGGGTAGACTGCGGGGAACCATTACCTGTCGGAATCGGCAAACATAGGCGGCATGTGCCACTGCCCCCCACTAACACCGACACCATCACTTTTGCAGTAAAGGTCCTTTCCAACAGAATTGCCACATTGAGACGAGTACATTGACTATGTATCTATACACATCTTCTCAAGTGTCTACAAGCATCAGCTGTCGAAGTCGCCAACACCGCAAAAACTCGACTCAACACAAACAATGGCATCAGAAACCATCCTGATAACAGGCGCATCCTCCGGTCTCGGTCTTGCCTTCGTACAACACTATGCTTCCTTGCCATCACGGCCCAACATAATAGGCATCGACAACCAATCCTTCCCAATTCAAATTGGCAATCAACAAGGGACCAATATTCAATTCCATCAGATTGACATAACATCAACTTCCAAGATCCAAGACCTTGCATCGACACTCAGCTCCATACCCATCAACTTAGTCCTTCACTGCGCTGGTATCCGGGGTCTTGTTCCACATATCGTGGCTCACGAGAAAGATAGCAACAGGGTCGTCGCGGCAGCAGAAACACTGGAAGCCATGGATTATCCGACCATGATGAAAACCCTTGAAATCAATACCTGGGGTACTTTCAACGTTATCAGATCGTTCTTGTCAAACCTCCAACTAGCCGCTGTTACTCAAAGCTCATCAAAACCTAAGGTCATCATCTTGTCATCTCGAATGGGATCGATATCCGCGAATACGGCGGGTGGCGGGTATGCATATCGTGCTAGCAAGGCGGCCCTGAATGCGGTAGTGAAGAGCTTCGTCATCGATATACCGAATGTGCAGTTTCTGATGCTGCATCCGGGACGGGTGGAGACGGGACTGGTGGAGTGGAAGGAGGAAGGAGCAATTGGGGTGGAGGAGAGTGTAGGGGATTGTATGCGGGTTTTGACGAGTATGACCGAGGAAGGATGGGAGAGTGGGAGGCTGGTGGATCGATTCGGCGTTACAATCCCCTGGTAGCAAGGATATTAGATCAAAATATGAAGGGCACGCTGCATTCATCTATGCATCTCTGGATTTGTATGGTGTATCTTGAGATCAAATCGCCGCGTCTGTCCTGTCGCTTTTGCTCATTTATCCGTAGATTGTGATCTCCATCTCATATTTCTGTCTATGACGCCGAGGTATACATGAACGAAAATAGAGCCCTATTTGTACGCGATATAAACTCCCACATCATCTACAGGCATAGGCCGCCTTCGCCGATACAGCTCCAGTAGCAGTTGATGCACCAAGCTGCGCGGATGTTGCCAATGGATCGTAAGGGCTATAATTGATGCCACCAGTGGTTGTGCCTACGAGCTTGATAGACGTAGCCGACGGATCAAAGGGAACGTAGTTTATGCCGCCAATGGTTGTGCCAGTAGGCTTGACAGCCGCCGTCGATGGGTCATAAGGACCGTAGTTATTGCCGCCAGTCAAAGTCACAGGCAAAGTCATAACCTTCGTTATCGCTATGACCGTGGTGACTGTGGTAGCCATGGGAGCTGCGTCTGAAGCCATCGCGGAGACACGTCCAGTGTAGGAAGAGGTGAGTGTTCTTGAGGCGGAAGGCTCGTACGGGCTGTAATTATCACCACCAGTCTGAGTCGCAGGCAGCGTCATGATTCTGGTCGTCGTGACGATAGTTGTAATTAAAATCACTTCAGGGTCTGTCTCGGAAGCCGGCGCTGGAAGACGCTTGCCGTAGAAAGAGGCGAGAGTGGTTGGGGTTGTAGCAGATGTTGACGGGTCGTATGAGCCACAGTTAGTACCGTGAGTCATTGTTGTAGGCAAAGCCACGAGATTGTTCGAAGTGGTGATGGTAGTCGTCGCAACTGGAATGACAGCTTGCTCTGCAGTCGTTGTGGAGTTGAGGACTGTTTGAGCTATCTCGAATGCGAGGCTGTTCTTCGGGAGATCACTGCCGGCGCCGTTCTGGTAAACTCTCACGAAATTGATAAGAAAGAAAACTTCCTTGAGCTTATCAGGGTTAGCTGCAACGAAGTGGTTACAAGAGTCGTCGTGTGTTTCTGCTGCGCAACCTGAGTAGCCAGCCCAGGTATCGCCACCCGCATTCCTGCCACAGAAGGTAATATTGAGAATCTTTCCATGTCAGTGAGTACTCACACGAACGAATGCGGGAATACGTACAATCTTCATCTTCTTGAACGTCTTCTTGATGTCACAGCCGTCCCCAACAAAGTTCATCACAGGCTTGCCCCATCTGCTAGGATCAGGATGATTACCGTTCAAGCCCGAGGGCTCACTGCCTCTAGCGAAGAACCAGGCCTTGATGCCACCATTGCTGACCTCTGCTGCCCAGACTCCGCCGTGGCGATCATTGAAGGTCTGGCCGAAGGAGCCGTCAGGACCATTAACTCCACAGTTGTGACCACTCAAACACTCAAGGTCGTCGCGTGTCTGTCCGGTACCGCCATTATCCCGCATCTTACATGGCATCTGAGCAGTGTGGATACTGAGCTCGTTCCAACTATTCTTGGAGACGCCTTCGATAATGTCGAACTCGGAGTACCAGTCCTCTTGGTCAGCATTATCGTGTAGAAGCCAGCTGCACATGGTTAGCTGCTGCATGTACGACGAATCTCACGGAGAACAGGAAGCACGAAATGCCTTGAACGCCTTGAAGGTAATTGACTGTGGTTATTCCAGACGGGCAAGCTTACAGAGCAGGCCACATGCCACATCCACTAGGTAGATGATCGAAATCGGCAATGAAGAGCCCATCATCAAACGTCTGCACTCCCTCCAGTCGTATGCTCTTGCGGCCATAGCCCTCACCAGGCTCCTTTGGAGTGAGTACCTGGTTTGTGTCGACCCCAAGACGAACCTTGCCGTCCTCGATACGGGCAAGTCCAAGTTCAGTTGCTTCTTGCTTGGAGACATAGAAAGCGAGACCATGAGTGAACTTGTCCCAGCCGTTGTAGAAACGGAAGGAGCTATCGTCGAAGAAATTGCTTGCGTCGTATGTCGCTTTGAGCTCGTAGCCCGTGGCGAGGGAAGCCACTGAAGCGACAGTGAGGAGGGTTTGTAAGATAGCCATGGTTGAATACTCCAGTGTAAGCTGGAGAAGGACAAGAAGAGGAACGCGAGAGTGACGAGGTGGTCTGACGCAGAAAGTTTGAATCATATAGACTATTTACCCGTGCACATACCGTCTCGCCTGGTGAGAGAAGGTAGCAGGAAGGAGCGACTCAGGGTAGGGGAGTGAGAGAAACCATGTTGAACTGACACTCACAATACCTTGTCTTTGCCGTGCTGTGGAGCGAATTATAGGTGATATATGCTAGGCTGATTCATATCTGACTTTTGCACCATCCAAGGTTGGTATTAGAGGTGTCTTCAGGGTTGAAGATGACATCTGAGTAAGAATCGTATCCTGCGGTAGACTGGTAGACAGCGTAGTGCTACTCTTAGCATAACAGACCCGCTCATTACAGAGTGCGCTGGGGTATTGATGGTATTTCGAGAACGCTGGATGTGGGCAACCACAGCCGGCACCAACCGCAATTCTTCTATAAGTCAACGTTTGGTAGCATCTTTGAAGCGCACGCTCAATATCGATAGGCATGAAAACCAGGAATATGACTTGATGCCACTTGTGAAACGGCTGAGCACGCCGATATCATGCTTGATCACCCACCGTCTTGCTTATATCATCCTCACGAGCATCGGCCAGTGTGCCTTGTTCGCCTATTCTTGACCTCGCGCCCGAGATCTTGCCCGCAGTCTCCAATCCTCCTTGGACACCCTGTACTAGTCCGTCTAGTGCATCGAAGATATCGGCTTGTTGGTCCCTCGCATCGTTCAGCCTGTCCAGACCAGCCTGACCCTTTCCCTTGCTCTTCCTCGGTATCTCAACGCCTTGAATCCGGAGCATGTACCCTTGATCTGGCGCATCCTCATCGAACGACGGAGCTGTTCGCACATCCGTTTCCGTTATTTGCCACTCCGATGAAAGCGACTGCGCATCTGCGATGGTTCGTCCGTCCGCCGCGACATCGATTATGAGGTAGTGTTCCTTTACACCCGGTATAGGTGGGGGAAGCGGTGACTCGACTGGTGAGGCTTGCTCGTCTCCTTCTTCACTTTCCTGGTTCCGTCGTCTCTCACCACCACCTGGTCCATCCTGTGGGAGGTACTTTGTATCATCCAGCCCTAAGCCTCGCATCGATGCGGCGGTTATGATGGTCGGGTCGTCGTCTGCAAAGACATAGTGTGTATACGGGTGGTAGTGCTCGCCCGACGTTGCATCTTCGATTAGAGTAAAGAAAGGTCGGAAGTTCGGTGGTGGTAGCAATGGCTGCTCGAAACTAGGCTCGGGATACGGTATATCGTCATCGTCATCGTCCTCTGGCGCATCGCCAGGCTGCTGTTGCTCGCGGAGCACGTCGTCGGGAGAATGTTTGGCGCGCTGCAATGGTGTTGATCGTGGAGAGTACGACGCGTGAATAGCTGAGAGGGGCTCTGTAGTGTCGGGGTTGTTAGACATGTTGTGGGGATTGATGGAAGGCTGGAGTTAACGGAGTTCTGGGAGCTCTAGTAAGATGCGTGATCGATCGATAAGGGACGTGGTCCATGCACACTACCCTACCAGCATCAAGGATACCTAGGTATGAACCAAGTACTGAAGTACAGAGAAAGTCGCAGTGTGAATAGGCTGAGGAATGTAATGAAATCCTTAGGGTATCCAAATCCAAACGCCGATGGTAACAGTACTGTATAATCCAAGTATCGCTTCGGATGTGAAGCACTACTGCCCCAACTCCCAGCCTATACGCGAGAAGCATGTCGGTAACGAGCCTCTTCACAGATGTCCGTCGTCAGTGCTAAGGTCTGAAGGCTACAGTGGGCTCGTATCGGGTTCTTGCGGCTGTGTTGGGGTTTCGGTGGCCGTTGGCGCGTCTTGACTCTTCGACTTGAAGGCTGGGAATGCAAGTCAGCGGGTGTTCTGGAAGCTTCGAGCTGCACGTACGCTGACGACACATGGGACACTTTTCTAGAGAGCTCTCTTGCTTGAGCCAGGAGAAAATACAGTGCTGAGACACGTTAGTTGTGGGCGCAACAGGTACTCTCTGAGGATATAGGCACACCATGTGAAAGGAATGGTTGCACTCTCCCAGCACTATATCATGTTAGTCTTCATCGACTCTCGTCATCTTGGAACGTACATAGTGGACACTCGTCTCCAGGAAACTTGCACTTGGAGCAGGTGCTATCGTAAGGGTTGCGACAGATACCACAGACATCGTCGTCTGGCATGTCCCAACGCCATGCGGCGACAGCGTTCCATTCCCGTATAGTGACTTTCATCTTGTCCTTTGTGGCGCAATGGGTAGAACACGAGGTTGGCGCGCAGATTGAGTGGGACGCAGATCAACAGCACCAAAACATGCCGAGGCGGCAGATTTACGGCGGCGAGGGGCCACGGGCGCGTTAATTCCGCTACTAGTAGGGTCTGAGCTCAAGCTGGAGCTTCCAGCGTCATCACAATCACGAATTCGTAGACCATACAAATGCCGTTATCCAAACGCGTAATGCTATCATCTTCTGAATCGATCCTTGTATTCGAGCGCGAAAATATGTGTCACATGATGTTATACTCGACCAAAATTGCGTGCGCGTAAGGTAGATGGCACTTCGACAGATTTGCTGAGTTCCCCGCACTAATCTTGAAGCTTACTGCGGACCCTCCTCTGTACAATGGATGCAGATAGGGAAGCTTGACCTCGCCGTCTACTCCACATATCTTCGCTCCTTCTTCTTTCTCGCCGACCAGGACACCTTTTCTAGTTCACTGTATCCGCCGTCCAGCTACCAATATGTTCGTCGTACGCTTCCGCTGCTCTTTACGCCCACTCTCTTCCACTCCCTCCGTCCGCTTCCCCATAGCAGCAAGCAGTAGACGGACAATGTCCTCACACCACCACTTCTCTTCTTATCTCGTCTCACCATCCGAGCTCAATTCAGCTCTGAAGCATAATGCTAGCAAGCTTTCTTCAGAGCCGCGCATCGTCCCGCTTTGCGCATCCTGGTTTCTGCCCAACGATGGTAGGAATGGGTACAATACTTTTATTGAAGAGCGTATCCCGCGCGCTCGTTTCTTCGATCTCGACGCCGTCAAGGACATTCACTCGCCATATCCGCACATGCTTCCTTCTGCCGAAGACTTCGCAATCGCAATGAGACACCTCGGTATACGCCGTGAAGACAGCGTAGTCGTCTATGATACAAAGGAGCTGGGTATCTTCTCAGCCCCGAGAGTTGGTTGGACGCTACAAGTCTTCGGACATCCAAATGTGCATGTTTTGAACAACTTCCGCAAGTGGGTCGAACAAGGGTTCCCAACGGAGAGCGGAGAGCCAAAGGAGGTTGCGTCGACCGAATATGCAGTGCCGAAATTGGAGGAAGAGAGGGTCGTCGCCTTTGAGGAGGTCAAGGATATTGCAAAAGAATTGGGCAAAGAGGGTGCGGATGAAGTGCAAATATTGGACGCGAGGAGCTTAGGCCGGTGGAAGGGCATTGATCCGGAGCCTAGAGAAGGTATGCTTCTAGCTGCATAAGAGACACTACAACATGGTGAAGCTGACTCTACTAGGCCTTTCATCTGGGCACATTCCGCACTCCACCTCTGTCCCCATCACGGACCTTCTCGATTCGAAAGACAAGACGCTTCTCCCGGCCTCCGAACTCCAAGCTATCTTCAAGTCCAAGGGGGTGGATCCGTCTAAGCCAATCATAAACAGCTGTGGTACAGGCGTCACAGCGGCGATCATCGACGCTGCATTGTCAGAAGCTGGCTTCCCTGCACAACAGAGGCGCTTGTATGATGGCAGCTGGACCGAGTGGGCGCAGCGCGTGAAGCCTGGCGAAGGTCTCATCCGGAAGACGGAGTAGATTGGTACGTAGACTGGTTGGAGACGTGATGAGTTTCCTTAACAAGTTGATACCCCTTTTCTTTCGCATATATTCTTTGTATCCTCGAATGCATGATCTGATTCCGATTTTATGCCAATGATGAAGTATGCACAACTTTCTTGCTTGCCTAGTTCGTTGTATCTGTCAGTGTGATGCAATTTTGTGATTTTTCATGCCCGTCAACAACATCTACTCCTACAGAAGTAATAGCTGTTGAACATATTCAACAAGATTCATTTTGGTATAAAAGTAGTATCGAAATACCAAAGGCATGGGGTATATGCAGAGATCTAGATCCGACCGCCAGAGAGATTGTCGTATCCAAATGGAAGATATGCAAGAAGCTCACCATCCGCGCAAGTGACGCTCAGAGAAATAGTAGGACATAGGAAAGTTGACTTCTCAAGACTATGATGACTGAGAAGCCTGTGATGCGTGCGGCGTCTGGGATGATGGGTGGGGCTGATTCGGGTCAAGGTCTGTGTCCGGGTGTAAGGAGTCAGTGTATGTCTAACACGTTGCTCGCCCATAGACACTTACATGTATTGAAGAATTCCCTGACCTGCGGATTGGCACCTCCCAGAGGTCTCGTTGGAAGTGCCACAACTTCGAGACCCTTGAGCGAGCGTGCTCTACTGACTGTTCAAGATATTAGTCCACATATTACAGCTCTATCAATGAAGCGCGGCTTACGAGAGACGTAGAGTTGGCTTGCTTCAAAAGTCTTACTGAGATCGACAATCACGCGATCCAGCGTCATGCCCTGCGACTTGTGTATAGTAATGGCATAGCCCGCGACAAGTGGAATCTGTGCCCTCGATAACAGGCTGAGCTTGCTCCTGTCTCCATGCTCGCCAACATTCCCGAGTTCGTTGCAAGGACAGTCCGCGTAGATGACCTTAGTTCGGCCGTTGTCGAACTGAACAACTGGCCATGGCTGGTGGCCGTTCTGAATGGCGTATTCCTTAATTTGCCCCTGGGCGTATTTGGCATGAGTACCTTTGAGCTCACCGTAATCGCCTTTGCCGTTTGCTGCGCGGGGTAGCTTGTTAGGGTCAAATTTCTCAAAGCCGATGATCGAGCCCTGGGAGCCATTCACAAGGCCAGCGTTGGGTTCAAGATTGGCCTGTAACATCACACGCATGCCCTCCTTCAGATGCACGCTAGCTTCGTAGCGGTGTCCCTCCTGTGGGACAGTCAGTGATATTCGGGCATTCGCAGAGGTCGTCGTACTAGTTTTTGGAGGGTACCATCTATTTTCGGAATACAGTAGTTTTTCAAAGATTCATCTTCGCGATCATTCCATACGAAGTTATCTAAACACTTGTAGGCGAGTTGCCGTGAAGGGAGCTTCTCAATCTTTTCTTTGTTTACACGGTCCACGTCCTCGCGCGTGGAGAATAGTCGGATGGCGCCTTCGGTTTCTTTTGTGTGATTGAGCAGGATATTTGCGTGATGCCTAACAATCTCACCATCTAGTATGTGTCAGTACATGCTTCCAATATAATTGTATGCGACAGTAGCGTCTCAATGATGGGCAACTATACCTCTGCGAATCTTCTGGAGTATAGAGATAAACTTCCTGTCGTCTTGCCTATGAATTTCTGTAAGATTGATATGTTCAAAATTACAATCCTGTTTGTGTCAGTGTTGCTGCCGTACGAGTCGAATGGAGTGTACAATATACCCGCCACGCTTCGCTACTGAAGGCCCACTTGTCGGTGTCTAGCCAGAAATCACAGTTACAATCAGGGTTCTTGCAAATACGATGTCCTTTTCTCTCTTTAGAATTGAGCTGTCTTCCACATCCAATACAGTGCTGGAAGGGGTTCACAGGTGAAAGTTGGAAAAACTACGGTAATTAGCGTATCAACATCGAATCTTGTAGAGTGACTTACGTCTCCGGTAACAATGACTTGAACGCCGCCAAATGGGCCAGTGGCTTTACCGGCGCGGCTGGCCTTCATGACTTCGTTCAATCGCTCAAACTGGAGGTTTTCAATCATGCTGATCTCATCAATGACTAGTACGTCGGTCTGGTTGAACCTCTTCCAAACATTTTTTTGGTGAGCGGCTTTCTTCAACTCATCCAACGATTGGTTCATTCTGTCCGGTCTCCAACCAGCGAAATTGCAGACTGTTTGTCCGCCTACGTTAAACGCGGCGAGATTAGTTGGCGCTACAATGCGAACGTTCTTTCCTTGCTTCTCGAGCAGTGGAACGAAAGCCTTCAAAATAGTAGACTTGCCACATCCTGCAGACCCAGTGTAGAAGACGTTTTTCCCGCCGTCCACGATGAGATCTACGACTCTCTGCTGTTCTGCGCTCAATTTAATCTCGGGTTCAGAAACGTTCTTGTTAGCGGTAGTGTTCGGTCTTGGAGAATTTGCTGCAAGCTGCGACTGCCTTACAACGTGTCCTGCTTTGGAAGGTGATAGATCGTAGTTTGCGTATCCCTGGGATCGATTGGAAGATGGGGTTGGAAGGGGGTGAGTGTACATTGGAGGAGGTGAAGGTGTACGCTGAGCCCTATGCGCATGGTATGTCGGAGCAAAGCTGTAGGACTCTTGCTGCCGCTCCCTTTGGCGCTGGAGCGCTATTTCGACGTGGAATCTGTTTTCGTTCATATATTTCCATGCTTTGTCTATGGTACGAAACTTCATGTGCCAAGCACCACTGTAGCCTTTAATCTGTTCGAGAACGGTATCATAGTTTGTATAAATACCAGGCACTTTCCCACCTGCTACCGCGTAGTATACATTCTTCTTCGCGGAGAGATTGGGCTCCTGAACATATAGCCCAGCATTCCGCAGATCTTGCGGCAGGACAGGTTGTTTTGAGTTCGCCATCCGTTGCCTTGGTATGCTTTTCGTTGGCTCTGGGCTCGAAAGTATCTCGACTGGGTTGTGCTGAGTTCCGTACTGAGGCCCACTATAGGCTCGGGCGTGGTCTTGCGTCGCAGAATGGACTCTAGGGCTGATTGGCGATATGGCTTGTCTTGGTCGCTTTCTGAAGGCGTCAGGATGTTCTTCATCTGACTTTCGTTTTATTGGCCTCTGTTCTGATGCGTCGTTTGACCACAATGCGGCCGTAGGTGGGATGTTTTCCATGTTCGACATTGGCGGGAGCAGGCTGTCGGAATAGGACTGCATGTACGTGGGGTACTCGACAGGTACGGTTATGGAAGAAGCGTAACGCAAAGGGGTGTAATGCGAGTACTGCGGCGGAGCGGCCGTGAGGCCGGTAGTCGGAGGGGTATTATTCATATACGCGTCCAGCGCATGATCATCTATGCAAGCGGTGTGAGCTCAAAATTTGGTTCGCGATTTCAACGGGGGACAGTCAACACGTACTGCGTGGGCACGGCGAGGTGATAAGAGGGATCGAATGCGCCATCGTATCAACTCACGATGCAAGGAAACCTCTCACTAACGCCCATAGAGAACATAGATTGACTGATGCAATCATGCATTATCGATGTATATGGCCAATAGGGACGAGCTCGATAGATGCAGCCGCAATGCGGGGTGCGGGAGCGATTATGAAAGTGGTCGCACTCTAGTCAACGCGACAAATCGCGGTGGCTATCGCGCTAGCGCAAGCTAATGCAAGGTCCCGCCTGAACATGTGGATCGGAATGTTTCAGATACGTCGCACGTTTGCACAGAAGAGATACTGGTAGCATGGAAGGCATGTTGGTCGGATCATTTCAGACTAGGTGCTTCATACCGAATGTGTTGTCGTGTTGCTATATCGGACATGTCCAGCGCAAGGCCATGAATCATTCTCCAGTGCTCATTATAGCTTCTGATGCAGCCCGACTACGACCTTGTCCCTTCTTTTGCATCTTGTTCGCCCTACCCGCCTTTGCCCGCCCATTTCCTAACCATCCTGGCTTCGCCGTGACAGGCTGTAGGAATCCATCGATGTGCACACCACCAAACGTCCGCTCTTCGTTGTCAGAATCGTTGGTTCTAGGGTCATAGCCGTGGACTCGTATGCAGTGCTCGACCACGCGATAAGGTAGAGCAAAGTCTTTTTCGTGCCCATAACAATCTACATGCGGACAACGCAATGTGCCGATCTGGAAGAAGGGCCGTTTAGGTGTTGGAGGCTGCGGGATTGAGGAGACGGCCGGCGGCGATATAGCTGAAGGTGTGTAGAACACAGGCTCGGAAGCAGGCTTCAAAGCAAGAGTCTCGTGGAAGTGCATAAATGACATGCTCTCACCAAACAGAGCTGCGCAACGCTGAGCTGTACGTGCAATAGCTTCTCTGTCCCAACCCTGTACAGCAGCTAACCCAAGCACTTCACTCCAATCCATAAGGCCTTCCCTCAGCTGCAGTTCTTGTGTTTCTGAGACATCACTACCACCGATGCTGCTTGAGGATCTGCGACGTTTTCGTTCGCGGGTTATGTTGTTGGACGCCTCCCAGTCAGATGCTCCACTTGAGGTAGCATCACTATCTGGAGGCCTTCTTCCATCTTTGGCAGTCTTTGTTCCTGGTTGTGCTGTGTAAGCAGCTCGCGCCGATCTTGCACGCGATCTCCTTCGCGTGCTTGATCTGCGACTTGTTCCACCCTTCGATCGGGCTCGTGATGTAGACCTTGACTCCGGCGCACTCGACTCTGCACCTGATGTGAAGTCACTCATGGAGGAATCTGCCGACCCGCCACGACCGAAATGGTTGGCACGAGTCCGGCGGATAGCCAGTGCAAGCTCGTCTAGCTTTCCCATCATGGCCCGGATCGTTGGCTGTAGAAGCCGTTGTGTTCTCGCGTCGTCGGCCAGCAAAGTCGGCTCGGTGAGTCTCTCGTTACGAGGTTTCCTGCCACGTTTCTTTCCAGTCGCATGATGGCGTTCATCGTCGTCGCTATCGTCGTGTGCTTCGTCTTCATCTTCCGGTGGAAATGGAGCCATGGACGTAGAGCGCGACTGTGCGCAACTGGCGCTTTGAGATCGTGACTCGCTGCGTGAAGCTGTTGTGTAGTCCCCGGCGTCGGATTCAGACGAGGCCGCTTCCCGGGAGTTCCATCTCTCTTTGGCCAGTCGTAAAAATACAGCTTGAAGTTCGTCTCGGAGCTCATCTCCTACATCTTGTGTGCCTGTGCCTATGCCTACAGAAGGCCATTCGACGGTCTGACCGTCCGCCATGCTATCGCCCAGCTCGTCGTCGGAGTCTAAGAGTGATGCTGGGGGCAGTGGCCATGCCGTCCACTCTTTGGAAGGCACCATTGCCGTCTGCACGAAGCCTGCCGCATCCTTGTATTCGAGGTCTTTGCCAGCCTTCAGCCAGTTGTCCCTACTCTGCCAGGTTTCGAGCTGCGCCGTGGCTTCCTCGGGTCGTCGTAACCACCGCTTGAGCGCATGGGCGTTGTACAGATGTGTCGCAAGATCTGTGTCTTGGATCTGAGCGAGCGAATCTGCTACCTGACGATCGGCCTCGGTGAGGCTCTGCCATGCTTGGGGTTGGCCGAGAAAGCGGTTCGGGCGCACTGGTTCGTCGTCGTCGTCGTCGTCTTCTTCTTCCTCTTCGTCGGGGTCGTCCCGTGCGGACCCGCTATGGGTGTCTAGGTCATCGTCTATGTCGAGTGATATCGGCACATGGAGATTTTGTGCTTCTTGCGCGTCGCGCGGGTCTGAGACCTCCTCAACTGACGGCGATGAGCGTGCAGAAGGAGAAGAAGAAGGGGATGACGAGGCATCAGATACGTAAGAGGAGCGAAATGGCGCGGCGCTACCACCAAACAACGACATCTTCGTTGCAATAAAGGTCAAAGCGAGCTTGTGGCTGTCGTGGTATCAGCATCTGCCTTTTGCGATCCATCCTTCGTCGCGCTTCAGCGTCGCGGCCAAATTATGGCGGGGTTCTCGAAAACGACACGCCGTCACGTTGGCGCTATCGGCCTGGGTCGCTACCATCATTCCACAGCACACGTCCTACTCCCAACTGGGTATCCCAGAACACAGCTGCAAAGCGATCTTCAGCTTACATGGCTTCTCGGTACCTTGGCTTATCCAACGTACCTAGCCGGCGGATTACCGCAAGTACAGTTGAGGAAGTACTAGCAAATACCCACCGTTGGATCTGCACCTAGCCATCAGCAAGGCTAGACATTAACCGTCTTTTCTGCCGCGGGCTCTAACCACACATCAACACCAACAACTTATCCTGTCATAATTTCACCGACATCAACTGCGCGTTGCGCGCATCGCAATGTAAGACACATGATGCTAGCTTCCCATCGAGAATGGTGGCGACACTGTTGACATCTACCATCTCTAATCGCCCCGTCTAGAAAACAGGGTAAGCTTCTCCGCAATATCGTCATTGGTAGGTGATACAGTACCAAGGACGCCCTGCACTGCCGTGCTTCCAAGCTCTGCGGAGGCGCTTCCACTGTGACACATCAGCATGTACAGAGCTTTCATGGCTAGGTAAGAACTCTGTTGGAAGCGGAACGAGCAAAATTAGAAACATAGATTACGCAACGGTTACACCTGTAGACCTCCGCGCAGCTTCACGGCGGGTGAAGTCAAAACCTCTCATTTCGTATACACCGTCAATGCTCCGGAGATGCCACCGAAGATCGTGCCAACGACAGACTCTCGACAGACCACGAACTCCTCCAAGAGTCGGGCGAACGCTCCGAACGCGGCGCTTCAGCGGGGTCAGCATAAGCAATGGCATCAAGACAGCGGCGAGACTCATCAAGGTACTGCGCCCGATCTGGAGAAGAGTTCAACGGTTAGCAATACCGGTGATCAACGTCGAGGCACAAGGTCTGCGCTCTTGCACCCGGCACTAGAGAGCATCACCCAAAACCATCAGGCACCATCACAAACTTAGCTTTGGTAGTATCATACTGCACTCAAACGCTCTTGTACAGCTTTCTTTTAGGCTTCAGATAATGAAACCGCAAGCTATTTGACATCCTAACCCTTGATTCCTACGCATCAAATGCAATAGCCACGGCGTACGTCAGCACGTGAGACCCTGGGCCAGTCCCCTATTGACGGGCTGTTGCCAACCCGCACGAACTTACTCGTAATGCTTGTCGTCGATTGTTCCGACAGTGCGATCTTACTTTTAATTACACTTCAGCTTACACAGTAGGACCGAGCCGGAAGAGCCACCGCATATACAATCACTCGCTATGTTTTGACCATATAAATACAACACGTCTGGTGGTCGGTAACAGAAGTATAACCACACACTCCTTACCTTTCTTATCTCCCTGCAAAACTATTCCAGTTATGCGTTCCTTTGCTTCTATTGCCGCCGCCGCGGTGGTCGCCCTTCCTTTGGCCATCGCAGCGCCCAACAAGGCCAACAAGATGGATGCCAGCTACTATAAGCCGGAGCAGGTTATCGATACCGATGTCGTGATTATTGGTGGGGGTGGTATGGGTGCCTACTCTGCTATCCAACTCAAGGACGCAGGAAAGAGGGTTGTGGTCGTCGAGAGCAAATCCCGTATGGGAGGTCACACAGAGACTTACATGGATAACGAGACTGGAATTCCCATTGATATGGGTGTGAAGCTATACCACGACGAACCTTTGGTGCACCAATGGTTCGCACGCTTCAACCTTTCCACTACTCGGTTCAGCATCCCTGCTCTCCCGACGCAGAACGTTGACTTCAGGACTGGGCAGGTTTTGCAGGGTCTGCCTGCTCCTAACCAGACAGCCATGGCTATTGCTCTGCAGAAGTACGGTGCGGTTCTCGCCAAATATCCTCAACTAGAGGGTGGCTTCTATCTGCCAGATCCCGTCCCTGAGGATCTGTACATGCCCTTCGGCCAGTTCGTCCAAAAGTACGACATCGCTGATGCGGTACAAACCATCTTCGGTCTCACTTCCGCCTTTGGTGACATCCTCGAGCTCCCCGCTCTGCAGCAGATGCGCACCTTTTCCCTCGGTCTCCTGAAGACTATGCAGAACTTCCAGACCAGCTCGGTAATGGACAACAGCCTTCTTTTCGAGAAACTCACAGCCGAACTCCAGGCTACCAACTCTGTTCTTCTATCCTCTAAGGTCACCAAGACGCAGCGTGTGAGCAAGGCTGATGGTGGCGTGAAGGTCCTTGTCGAAACACCAATGGGCTGCCGTCTCATTCAAGCGAAGAAGATCCTTATGGCTATCCCCCCTACTCCCGAGAATCTCAACAAATTCGACCCTAGCGGCGATGAGTTGAAGATCTTCAACCAATTTACATCTGTCGGATACTACACCTCTATCATCAGGAACGCTGGCCCTACGAACATCACACTCCAGAATCTCGCTCTTGACAAGCCATACGCGCTGCCACCCATGCCTGCTATCTACAACGTCAACCCCACCGCCAACCCAACTCTAAGTCTCGTCTACTACGGCACCAAGGTTGGTCAGCATCTGAGCGACGAGGAGGCCAAGGCTGCGATCATCGCGGACCTCAAGCGCTTCCAGGCTGCCAACAACATGACTGAGACTGAGCCGGAGTTTGTCGCATTCAGCAACCACAGCCCATACAACATGTTGGTCGGTGAGGAGGCTACCCGCGCCGGATTCTACAAGCAGCTGTATGGACTGCAAAGCAAGCGCAACACTTTCTGGACAGGTGCCGCGTGGAGGGCGCATGACAGCTCTTCCAGCTGGGCTTACACTAGCCAGAGTGTGCTACCTCAGCTTTTGGCAAGCTTGTAGATGGAGCAAGTATATAGTGGCAGATCGCTATGTTGATGGACTATAACCTGGCTGTTTCCTACCGCTTTCGTCGATTCAGATATCTCCATTTATACGCTAATATAATGTCTTCAATATTTGTGTTATTAAGCTACCCTCGATTAGCATATTGCAGTCTTCGTTCAAGCTTGATGTAACTTCAGACAGCAATTACGAGCGCGTGCTATAAGGTGCAACGATCTATGTATGATACTTGACTGGTACCTGGGTGCCCGACTGCTACTAGTCTACCATGGTCCTTCTCTAGACCAGCATGCTAGACTACTTATCCGATACTTCCTACCCTCGTGCACTTTGATCCGAAAATCCTTTCATGATGGCTTCAACGTCCACAGATCAAACCCGACCCGAAGACAATCACTCTCTTTCCACGCCTGTTCGATTCCTCATACTATCTGACACACATGGAGCTAAGTTACCAGAAAATCTGCCACCATGCGATGTGCTGCTTCATTGCGGCGACTTGACCGAAGACGGCACCCCAGAAAGCATCTCTCTAGCCCTCCAACATCTAGGCAAGGTTAAAGCTAACTTGAGACTTGTCATCAGTGGCAATCACGAAATATCGCTGGACAAGTCCTATTGGCTGTCCCAGGGCGGAGAAGAAGCTGATGCAGAACGAGCGCTTGGAATGGTGAGCCCGGAGGCAAGCTCAGAGGCGAACGAGAATGGCATCACCTTCTTATGGGAAGGTACATATACCTTCACGCTAGCATGCGGCGCGACTTTCCGAATATATGCATCACCATACACTCCTGTTCACGGCGCATCAGCATTCCAGTATCATTCTAAGGAAGACCGATTCAACTCTGCAGGCACCCCGTCGTGGGCTCAGAACGTTGGTACCGAGACCTCGACCATTCCCAACAACGTTGACATCGTCATGACCCACGGCCCAGCGAGATACATACTTGACGAGACTGACGGTCATAGTGCGGGGTGTGAACATTTGCGACGCGCTATCGCGAGGGTGCAACCACGATTGCATTGCTTTGGGCACATTCATTCGCCGCGTCGCGGCTTCTACGAAGCGCATGTGCTGAGGCACGAAAGACAAACGGTGCTGGAAGGCGATCCCATTGAATCGATATCGAAAGTATGGATGGGAGAGAATTCATGTCGTAAGAAAGGATTCAGAAGCTTGACTCCAGGCGCCGCTCAAGAATTTCGAGAGAATAAGCAGCAGACACTGTGCGTCAACGCAGCAATGGAGGGGGATGAGCCAGGCGTGCTTGAACACCCACCTTGGCTGGTCGAGTTGGATTTGCCCGTGCAGACACTGTAAACATGGCATGGCACGGTGAGGTATACCGCCGGCAATATTTCGAGTCTCATTTACATGCGTAGGCTCTTGAGAGACACGGGAACACCTGGTTGGTCGAATTTGGAGATTGTGGGGCGCTGCAGCTCGCAGTCCGTGGAAGCCGGCGAGGCGTCCCAGATCGCATGGTGCCTATCTCGCGGTCGGTAGTCATGACCCCCGATCATGGGTATATTGAGTTATCCAGTGGGCCACTATGCATCCAATTCTACGGCTCATTGGTGCATCGCAAATGTCATAAGTAGTAGGGCTCGCATAGTATTGAGGAATGATGCATACAAAGGTAGACGGCTCGCTGCTTATGCCTTCGGCTTAAGGATAGTCATCTCCAGCGCATCGAAGCCCTTCATTGACAAACTCACAACCAAGATTCCCTTTCAATCATACCAACAACACACTTAAAATGGCGGCATCCTCTTCGCTCACGCTTTATCGTCCAGGGCCATCAAATGCGCTGTCAACACGTTCATACTCGACCTCGCTCATCTCGTCGCGTCTGTTCAGCCAGCAGACTGGTACAGCAATCGCGACTGAACTCCTCTACCGTATACTCATCGACATAATCAACCGCTTCCTCTGTTCTTTCCAGCGCATCGCTTCCCGTGGCATTGACGAGGCCTCATCCTGGATGGAGCGCAAGCTGCAAGAGCGCCGCGACAACCTCAACGCTGCCAAGGCCAATGCCAGAGAGGGCCTAAAGATAGTTGAAGAGGTGGGCAAATTAGTTGAAGACCGTGGCTTTGTAACTTGCCCAATGATGGGTCGTGCCATGGACGCCACAGCAGAAGACAAGAGGGAACTACCTGGGCCGCCACAGTGGATCCGGGGAGTGCTCGCTGGTATCGATGAAGGAAGGATGGTAGAGAGAGACTTCTGGATCCACACGCATGCCGAATGAGGATGGGATACCGATGTATACGAATCGGTATCGTCAAGAACTAGGTGATTGGCGCGGCGCTGTACTGGTCCCAGACATGCGCTGAAGGTTGAATCGCATCCATGAAGCGTCCGTTACCACATAGTGGGCTCTACTCCAGGGTAATCGCCCTTTGCTGCAAGCCACCAGCTCAACAAGAGCGTTCTTCCGGCGCCCGTTGAAGGTGCGAAAGTTTCTTCGAGTGCCATCTCACCGCAATGACAGCGTCCGAGAACGACTTCGAGATGATTCTCCCAAGTCTGAGGGCGATTCTTCGAATCATGTCCGTAGCAGGACTGAATCACGACATTACCTTGATGAGCTCTCTATGATACCCAAAAGCTGTACATAGTCCTATGAGGGCGCTCTAGAGGATCGGGACTCTTTGATCAGTTTTGCATTGCTTGTCAGCCCCCACTATATGCGCATTTCTAATGTATTCACCGCATCGACCATGAATCTCCACTTCTTTGATTCAAACACCTAGCTTATCGTGCGCTCTGCTTTCTTACAATAGCTGTCCTGCCAATACCATGTGTGTCTCAACCTACTTCCTGGCAACTCTCATTATCGCCTAGGCTGTTTAAATATGTGACATGTTGTCTACCTGCCGTGCTGCTACAACAACATCCCATAGGCGGCTTGTTTCTGGTCCTTTTGTCCTGCCGAGTATTGCTGTCCAGCTATCTCCTTTAGAGCATATGTGTCTACCGAGTACAGTGCCCGTGCAGCACGCCATATAGCCTCCATGTTAACTTACGGCCGGCACGAGTGGGCATCAGCGGTGGTACATAGCGGACTAAGATCAATTTCAGCAACGGGAGTGAGAGGCTTCTTGCGGTTAGTAGTGGATCAGGCGCTCTTATCTATCGCTGTCAACGTTTGAGTGTCGGCGTTCACTGCAGGCGCGAATGCGTAGCTTGCTTTGGCAGAGTTGCAAGTCCGACATCCACTTCATTAACAGTCAGCATGTAGGCCATCTTAAACTCCTCGCAAAGAGAGCGTCATTATTGATGTCGACGATGAAGATTTTGACGAAGAACATGGAGTCACGTCATAGCTCACTGCTTCTCAGACACAGACTTGCTCAGCTCATCTAGACTGACTCGACTTACAGCAGGATTTGCTCTAAGGCGGTCAAAGCTCACATTATATAAACAAAGCTTTTGGTTGCTTTCCACGCCTATCTTCTGCGATTGTTGTTTTAAGAAGCTCGCCAAAAACCTCTTTAGTCGTCACCTAGGTACATCAGAGCGTCATGCTCAAGAGGTCCTGCACATTGAGGATGTAAGCATCCATGTCTTCTGTGAGGAGAGCGCACAATCTAATCTTTTGTTTTAAGTTATAATCTTCTCGCTTCCATTCATGCTCGCTTGGTCTGTTCCTCTCCTACACCGTCGCACTGGCTGTTCAGCTCAACCTCAGTGACTGCGATCAAGACGAAACGCGTCTCGCACACTCTCAATTGCTGCCTTGTGTGCCCGATTTCCGAGTCGCTCTCGCTTGAAGTTGCCGCTCGGACCATGTCGCTTTGCGTGTTCCTACTGGGTGGATTTCCACCTTCACCTAGCCATGCCCGCGCGTCCGCCCTTCGACTATCGACGAAGACCTTCTATACCCGCTCTATTGAGCCCACCTACACCTCACTGTCACCGGCAGAACCCCGGCCGGAGCCTGAGTTCCGGCTCCTAGCGTTGTCCGCGCTTGGGCCAGTAGTTCGCATATATAAAGGCCGTTTCCACCCTTCCACCTACACTCTTTTTCTACTAGCAACAACAAATTCTACCTCAAATCAAACCTCTCTATCATCCTGTCACTTTGTCTCAAGTCAAACTTCCTTCTCCAACTTAACTCGATCATGGCTCAACACTCTAACATCACTCCGGATCGCTTCAATTTTGTCACATGACATCACACCTTCACTTGCATATCTCGGCCACTTGCAACGTCATGAGCATCACTCTTCCTCAACCAACATCACTGCTCAACGATACTCACCCCTTACTTGGACATCAACACTTCAATCAACCTTGATCCAACCTTGATCTAACATGACCTCTATCGATGATCATCAACAACCTTTGATCACCCTGAGCTATGGTGAATCATTCGCCTTCCTCTGTCGACTTTGAGCATGGTAACTATCCTCTCCGTCCGTCCCTTCTTCCCCCATCTTTCTTTTCTTATTATCAGCCTGCTGACCTTTTCAGATTCAGCATGCTGCCTTCGGACCGCTTCAACCTCTTCAGCTCTCCACCATAGAGCCTGCTCAGCATCCTCAAGTCCTATTCAGGCCGCCTTCCACACATCACGGCAGCATGGCATGCTCACGGCCGCTCGAGTTGTACAACGTCAGGGGGATTAGGGACAGGGTGCAAGACGGATTGCAGGTGGCCCTACGAGCAGTGGATGGAGGATTGGCATACTGGTGGGAAGTGCAGGATGCATGGTCAAGACAGTAAGAGAAGGAATATACAGATCTCGCTGGGATCTCGCTTTGGGCCTACAAGGCTGCTTCGGCAGACCCCATGGCTGGTGGTTGATGATCTGGAGGACATTCATTCTCACATCAAGGTGCTGGAGGACAGACAGTCTATGGTGCCTCGGTACTAAGCTGGGCCTACCTTGGAGATTTTAGTCCGCTAGCCTGTCGTTCGTCGCGGCCCAGATCATCACCCCTGCATACCTCGATGGCGGCCCTTATGGGTTTGGATCAACTTCAAGAAATGCAGCATGCGAAAGGTTATGAGAGACTTGAGGTGAACATACCTGCAGTCGGTGGTCGATGTTTGGATTGGATTTGAGAGCTTTGGACATTGTGCTGATGGCTGGTGGATATGGGCTTCATCGGGTTGGATTGAATCTTGGTTGGACTTGGGTTGGTCTTCACTCTTTCTTCTTCTTCATGGTATCGCCTCAGCATCAATGCATCCGTTTGCCTCACAAGACCTCTTCTTTTGCTTGCTTGACTTGAGTTCTTGATCAATAACCTTTTTCTTCACTCGTTCTCCTCACTTGGTATGGCTGCTCTCTCAAGAACCCCCGTTGGCCTGATTGTGTCCTTTGCTATGTTCACTCTTGACTTGATCATATTTTCGTCTCTAGCTTGGTGCTCCTTGCACAAGATGTGTCGCTTCATTTAACCTCAGGTTTCTCTTACTTTCAACAACGTTATGCTTCTACTTCTACCTAATATGTATACCTTTGCTATGTACTCCTACATCACAGACTATGTCGCATGCCACTAGTATGCATTATGATGTAGTCATTGTCTATGGGAAGTACCTGAACTTAGGTTGCGGCTGCTTTGTTAAACATGCCTTCTCCTAGCCCACTTGCTCAAATACTCCCTTCCCTCAAGTCTCCAAGTATCCTCCTCAACATAGCTCCCATTGTACCCTCTCCCCTTTGCCTGGATAACAAGATCAAGTCCTTGTGCACTCTCGTTGTACTGCGGCCACAGTGGCAGTGCTTTGCTATTAGGATCACCACTAGCAACAAAGTTGATCCATTGCGCACTGATCTGATTGCTTAACGCTCTGTACTCGTCCCACGGCCCATAGAAGTTGGGGTTGGCGAAGACAAAAGCCACCTCTGTGAAGTGCGCGACACCCTTGTAAGCGCGTGCGCTGCCGCCTTCATCAGCAGTGTTGTTTTTCTGCCAGGGGAACGTGTTGAAGCGGTAAATATACGTGGGCGAGTATTTGGAGTAAGCGCGGGCGTCTGTGAGGCGGGGTGCATGGTAGAATGCATCGCCCATGATGGCAGCTATTCGCTTGTACTGGAGACCCTGCTCTGCAAAAAGCTGCACGCCGGTGTTAAGGGGTATGCCCAGGGTAGGGTCGTTGGGATAGAGCTCCATAATATGCTGGACAACCGTATCAGGGAAGTCGAAGCCTGTGCTGCCGGCGAGGTAGGCACGAAGATCTTCGTCGGTGTTGATGACACCGTCCGCAGGCGCGTTGTCGGTACCTTCATCAGAGTTGGTACCGTAGAGGTGGGGGATATGAGCGAAACGGCCTGAAGCGAGCAGTTCCGTAGGATATGCAGGGATGATGTCTCCATCGACAGTCGGGTACCAGCCGGGACCTTGAACCGGAGCCGCAAGTAACGGGAACATAATCTCATAAGGCACTGTGCGCAGGCACTCCAGTGTGTCAACCTCATTAGAGCAGTTCGTTTTGTCAACGACGTTGTCGTAGATGGGCTGATACCAATCAGTACCTAGAGGGCGCGTGTGCCAATTTAGTGTGTGTCAATCACATAGAGTTCTACGGGGACATCTCTTACTCACCATTGTACCAAGCTGTTGCCGCAGATCCGGACTCTTGTATACTGCGGTGAAACAAGCCATCTGTACGGCCACCGTAGGACATGAGTAGCTGCCCTACTGCAAAGCTTCCAGCAGACTCGCCCCAGATGGTCACTGTGTTCTTGTCGCCGCCAAAGGCTTCAATGTTCTCTGAGATCCAGGCGAGTCCTTTGCGCATGTCGCGAAGTGAGAGGTTTGTCTGGCCAGTACCCTGGATCTCTCGAGAGTACATCATACCCCATCCGCCTTTGCGGTAGTTGATACTAGCAGCAATGATAGGTCGACCAATCTCTACGCTTCGCTGGACAAGATATGTGAGGTTGTAATTCGCAAGCGCGCTGGTGCCAACTTGATAACTGCCTCCATGAATCCACAATGCAACTGGCAGCTTCGCGTGATCGCGAGCTGAAAACCCAGCTGGACGAACAATATTGATGCTCAGACAGTCTTCGCTCATGCTGAAGCTCGTATCTGATGGGTCTGGACAGGCATCTCCGTATGATTTGGCGGGGCGCGTGCCATTCCATGTCGAGTTCAAAGACTGTGGTATGCGAAAACGATTCTGACTTCCGGTATCTTGCGCATACGGAATGCCTAAGAAGAGGTCCTGATTGAACGAGGGAAGATGTAAGCCTTCGTATGTTCCATTCAAAACAGCGACTGTAGGCCCCGCAGCACTCGCTATCGTTGTCAGGAAGCACGTTGCTATGACCCCCACTTTCCAAGCTCTTGTGATGGTTGCCATGATGCTGGCTGATACCTGGCGGGAAGAATACTGTAAGGAACTTGAATGCGGAGAACCTATACTTGTATGTCGTAGCTAGCTGCATCCCGAATCAAGCCATGATAGGGCATATCTTTAAAAGCACCGAAAAGGGCCTGCATCGTGACGTGATAGCCCTCCCACTCTTGTGGTAGACAAGCATATCCAGCGCGATCGGCAGCGCATGTTCGGCAGTCCGCGCCAATCAGGAAGGTCAGTACGAACCTTGCATATCTGCGGAGTTTCCGACGCATACAAGCTGCAAGTTCTCGTCACAAGCACACAACACCGCGCAATTCTGAGGTTGACAATCGCGGAACCGGAATCTGAGACCTGAGCGATGATAGCCTAGAATAGCTTCGATAGAAAGCTTTTTCTCTTTTTTCCTGTTTCTTTCTCCGGTAATCCTGCCGCTGTATTTGGTGCAGAGAGTAATGCATTCCCAGGTAACTCTACTGGCATGTTTGCAACACCGTAGTCCGGCGTCTTCTCCACGAATGCGACGGCTGGTACCATATTCTGCTGTACAGGGCTTGTGTATATAGGCAATGGTGAGTTCGGTGCCGATTGTGGCGACACCGGAATGGCCATAGGTAGCCGCGAAGCACTGATGATATGGGTTGACTGCGGTTGAAGATATGTTTGCGCTGGTACTTGTTGCGCACGCGCATATGGTTGTGCCTGTAGCGGACCGGCATGTTGCATTCGTGAGTGCTCAACGGCCCAGAGATCGAATACTTCAGTCATGAGTCGCATCCATTCTGAAGGAGCTCCTTGGAAGTTGTACTTGACGGTCCGGTCCTGGAACGCGATGAAGTAGTGTTGCTTATTATACGGCGAAATGGCGACGTACTGGCAACATCAGTCCTGCACTCATGCGATCAATCGAAATATATCCTCTGTACTTACATTGACTGTACCCGGCGCAGCTTCAGCAAGGATCTTATTCAAAGAGCTGTAATAACCTCTCAAGTTCCACGCCAAATCGCCGTTTGAGAACAAGACAAACCAAGCGTCTTTCATTCCAATGCCAACACAAATTGGCGTAACTAGCGACTTCTTCACTCTGCTCTCAAGGTCCGAAGGTATGCCGGCCCATATCGAGCCATGTCCGGGTGCGCATGCGAAGTAGCTGAAGTTCTGGCCGAAGGTCACAAAACAGGAGCGGGCCGCATTTGGGAACGACTTGATCCATCGCGCAAGATCAGGATAATTGATATCGAAGTACGTTTGCGAGTGGACTGTGTTTGATTAGCTCCCATATTGGACAAGAGGGGCCTGGCCCGCACCGCCATCTGCCATGCGTTTCATGGCCGCGGAGTTTAGGCCGGGGCAGGCACTCACAGAGCTTGTCCTCCCCATCTAAAGTCTTGCAACCTGCATACCAGATCGGCTCTGGGGAGTCTATCTGGGGCGCGAGGGCGAGGCAATACGGGCTAGCGATTCTCCATTCTGGGCTCATGGAGCTATTAAACAACTGACGAAGCGTATGTGGTATCTCATGGCTGCACGCTGTTAGCCAAACCTAGCGTCTTTCTTCACCATGCTTACAATTTCCAGGTCTGAGGACAGTCGAAGAAGAAGCCGTCTCGCGGCCCAAACACAAAGGATATCTCCGGCATCTTGTTAATTACATGCGCTGCAAGACTGTACAGGCGAGACAGAGAAAGGAAGCGGCGATCATGCGCACATTGTGAGGCGTCCGCCCAAGGACGTGGCGGGCTTTGGGGGCCGCAACCAGCAACACCAATTGGCGATACGAAGCCGGCAGCACGCATGCATATGTCTCACACATGCAACGGCCTCGCAAACATGTACAGATATGCATCGCATGCCCAATCTCACATCTAAGCGAACAGTACGACTTAATCGACAGCCGGATCAACACCACCTCTCTTTGCTGCTTCGACAGACCACATATCCGTAATCCAAAGCGGAACACATCTCGGCCTAACCGCCAACCCCTTGTAACTTTCGAGCTGTTGCTTTGGCACCATGAACACAATGCGGAAGTTGATCATGCGAGAATAGTTCTCAAGACTGACAGCAGTCTCACTCCAGAATTCCATGATACTAAATGGGTGCGTACGAAACAGGCCATCAACAAGGAGACGAACAACGACCCTTGATTGCCGCCGCATGTGTCGCATCGTGCGCTGAAAGAAATCCTGGAACTTGCGGCCATTTGTGATGGGACTGCTTTGCGAGAGTGCAATAGAGAACGACGTGCCTATTCGGATGTTGCGGTCTTTGTCGCCGCTAAACAACCATGGTAGAATGACATTGGCTGACGCTCCTGTTTCTTCAATCTCTGCTGCACGATACTCACCAATGAGTTTAAGCAGGTGTTTGATGGAATATAAGACGCTGTCGTAACGGTTCGGCTTGATGCGAATGGTCAACACTGGGGGGCCTAGAATTTCAATTCTTCGACGGTGCAGGATAGGACCATCTTCCTCTGCGACTTGCTTGCATGTCTGGAGTATTTCTGAGTGCAAGTCGTCGTGGTAGATTCGGGAATTAGTGAGAGGGAGTTGGCGACGCGTAGTACCTATGATGTTGTCGTATATCATAAGTCAAATTTCCTTCGGGAGTCTCATGAAGAGATGGAATGTAGGATGGCTTGAACTTGTCAGCGGATGCAACTTAACCGTTGGCTCAGTCTCTAGAAGACGTACATGATGTGATTCGTTCGCGGGGATTTGGCTTGCCTTGTAGCTTTGTCAGACTTGGATTGGGTAGGAAGAAGGACACATTTGAGCTTTTTGGCAACATGGCGTAGCATTCTCGGACCAGGCAGGCAATATCTGCATCAATAATCAGCGACTGTAGTAGAAAGGTAAGAAAACGAGGTGACGGATTGCCAGAACAGTATAGTGTGTAGCATCTTCACGACAAGGGCATCTTTGATGCTACCAAGCATCTCTTTAGCACGGACTGACATCACAAGCGACTCTGCCGGCGTATCCCCACTTGCCCCAGCGGCAAACAGCTCGCAAGCATCCGGTCGTAGGGGAAGGTAGGCGCCACAGCACGGCAGCGGACAGTTTGTGCTCGAGGAAAAGTGTGTCTCGATGCACTCCCGGCAGAGAACATGAGAGCGTCCCATTTTGACTAGTGCCACTTCCTTGCCATCATTTGAGGTGCAACTGTTCTCCTCCAAACAGATCGGGCGTTGTGCTCTCTCTACCACTAGCTGCCTGGTAGCACAGATGATGGTCATTGAGCGGGGACATGGCTTCACGCTCGATTTGCGTTTCGAGGGAGGCGATTCCAGGAGCTCCTGGTCAGGTGATGGAGTCTTGCACTTCCCGGGACTCGTCCATAGGCCAGTGACGTCAGTATCGATGGTATCGAAGCAAGGAAAGGACATCCTGGAAGGCTATGATCGCAATGTGCCAAGGATGTGAAGACCAGACCAATGGATGGCAAAATATCACAGAAAGAGCATCATGCAAGGCTCGGAGGTTGGCTTGCTTGGCGTCGAAGCCTGAGATGAAGTGCGCGATATTACAATCTTTGAAATAGAAGAAACCGCGTCGTGCCGCAACTTCTCCGCATGAGAAAGAACGTCTCGTGGAGATACGCGAATGGCAGGATTGGCAGCCAGCATACAGAGGTAACGGAGAAGTGAAAGACAACAGGTGCTGCAGGATGAGTAGGACACCAGAAGGGGCTTGCCAGCGGTGTCATTAACCAACATGTTGCACGATAGGTACTTTCTTCTCTCTTACAATGGGTATCTCCTCCTCGTAAATCTCCTTCACTTGTGTACCAGGAAATTCCTTCCTGAGCTCTTCACCTAGAAAGTGTATACCCCAGTCCTCAGCTTGCCGATGCCCCACGCAGGCTACCGACATGCCCAGCGCTTTCACAGCTTCTATGCCACTGGCTCTTGGTTGGCCAGTCAAGTAAAGGACATGGCTACCATCTCCACCTTCTGCTATCCAGCCACGCTCCTGAGCCATTGCCAACACGCGATGCACCTCGTCCTCGTTAAACGCGTTCATGATCGCGACGATACTAATCTCGCCCGAGCGCCCTTCTTGTGCGAGTTCTGACTCACCAAACTCGACCTGTATGCGGCCAAGAAGTTTGTGAAGAGTTGTAGAGACCTGGCCTACAATCCCAATCTTTCTCTGAGGGTCCCCCTTGTAGCCCTGGACACAAAGACAGTCTGTCGTCTTTATTCCCAGACGTTCTGCCAGCACTGTGTTCCAACCCACCGTGAGCACCTCATCAAAAGACGTGTGACTCGAAAGTACGAGCGTCCCTTTGCGCACACTGCGCCTATCGAGGTTGAAGGGTCGATGTAGGAAGCACAGCGTCCGTGGCGGCCGAGGATATATCTTGGGGATGGTGGCCGTTGCGCCGATCGTGCTCTCGTCTAGTGGGTAGCCGATCAATGAGTAGACGCCTGGCGTAGGAGTAACGCTCAGCACAATCTGCTCGACTACAGCCGTCTGGGCGTCGTATTGAGGATGTCGTGGTACGTGGTAGAGTCGCTGGACATCGTTCTCTTTCAGTGGTAGAAACGTCTCGACGAAGCGCGTCACAGCCGCATGTGTGGGCTTCTTGGGTCGCGACATTGTGAGGATGGAGGCCAGTAATCTGTTCATTAGCACTGATCAAAAAAAGACCTTCGAAAGCTTTGCGACTTTTGGCTTCGAGTACGTCATCATCGCTTGTAAACCATAAAGCGGTAGGCGTTCGACCTCCGCGCTGTCCTCCATCACCAACGTCGCCACCAGATGCACGTCTGGAAACAACAGAGCGCGTTCTGAAGACTGTGTTCGTCACGCCATGCTGTGAAGAGCAGTTGAAAGTGGCATTGTAACAGCCTTCAACGCGCTCTGATCCGACGGAAAGAGGCTAATCCCATTACGATCTAGTCTCAGAATACCAGCCATCCCACCCCGTTTGCACGTAGATCTCTCAATACCATACAGCTTGTATAGAACTTTGATTCCTTGGTTATGGCGCTGGAACGGTTGCAGCAAGTCTACCAAGCCGTGACCATCCATGTCGGGGGTCAACGCTGTGACTAAGTGCACTATTTCCCTCGGCTTCTCTATCTTTCGCTCGAGTTCGCTCCGAACATCGAGTCATACCTCACCTGCCATTCGACTTTCTCTTCTTGGATTTCAGTCGCGCAGTCTTATCACTATGGGAGTTACCACAGCTATTACTCCAGCCATTGTAGGCGCTTTACGATGCCAGAAAGATTCTTATCTGCAAACGCTCGACACGGAAGTCGTATCGTGCGAGGAATTCGTGCTGCCAAAGTCCTCACAGCCAAATGGCAAGTCAAAGACGAAGAAGTCCACAGATCCTACCAAGGGCCTTGAGAGTGGGGATGTAGCAGGAAGCAGAATATGGCTTGTTGAGCTCGCAGACTCAGTACTATTCCCAGAAGGTGGTGGCCAGCACACAGACTACGGCGTGCTCACCATCCTCAAAGACGAGCGCAAAGAAGATATCCCGATAAGAAGCATGCAACGTCATGGTCTCCGTTGCATCCACTTCTCCCCTGCACCACTTGAGCCTGGAACACCAGTTCGTCAAACTGTCGATTTCGCCCGTCGCTGGGATCTCATGCAACAGCATACCGGTCAGCATCTCCTCTCCGCCGTCATGGACTCTATGGATCTAGCCACCCTTGGGTGGAGTATGGGTCAACCCGGAGAGATGAACTACGTTGAACTGCCACGGAAACCGTCAGAAGAGGAGCTTCAAACCATCCAAACGGAATGCAATGCCAAGATCAGGAAGAGTATGCCTATTACAGTGGAAACACCAGAAGGCAAGGGAAGCGACAGCCTACCAGAAGACTATGACAAAGAGAAAGGCGTTGTACGGTTCATCAAGATTGGTGACATGGATTATAACGCTTGTTGCGGGACGCATCTGCAAAACTCGTCGCACATCAACATCATATTATTACACCATATGCAGTCCGTACGAGGCACCAACTGCCGGCTATTCTTCACCGCGGGAGATCGTGCGATAAAGATGGCTACCGAGTCGATCACCGGTCTTCGCTCCATTGCTGTGTCATTATCATCTGGTTCTGCCCCTGCAGACGTCGCGGCTGGTGTGCAAAGGATAAGCGACCAAGTCTCCGAAGGACGAAAGAAAGTCAACAAGTTACTAGCTGAGATTGCAGCATTTGAGGGAGACCGCATAAGGAGCCATATGCAAGGCCAGACCACCGCATTCATGCATCGTGGAGCGGATGGTCTCGATTTCATCAATCTAGTCCTTTTCGAAATCAAGGATTTCGTTAAAGAGCGAGAAGTTGTCGTTGTGCTGTGTTCGGGTGAGATTAAGAGCTCCGGATCCATTGTTGTGTTTGGCAAACCAGACTTGGTAGAGAAGATGGCCGTGAAGGTCAAGGAAGTTGTGAGCACAGCGAAGGGTGGTGGCAAAGGTGAGAAGTGGCAGGGCAAGGTTACCGAGTGGCAAAAGGGTGAAATCGAAGCATTGAGAGAAGCTGTTCACAAGCAGTAGAAGCTTTAGATATGTATAGAAAGAGAGAGGTATGTACAAGAAAGCCATATTGAACAAAGAGAAAATTGGTATAGAGCAGTTGTCCAAACTCGCCCCTCCAAAGCAGTATGAAGTAGGAGAAAAGGTATTTACATTGAAAAAAAACCAGATGATCATAGACTGGAGGAAAAAATGAAGCGAAAGAGTAGGAGAGGGGTCCTCAAGTCTTTAGACACTGTACACCTTGACGGAGTTGACGAGCCAGTATGTCTAACTATTGTTAGCACAAATACTTTTATGTAAAGCAAAGCACAATGAAGACTTACATCTGAAAAGCTCTGTGGCTGGTTTGCCACATAAGCATTGCAACTCGGGTTAATCTGCGAGCAGGAGTTTGAGCCCCAGACGCCGCCCGCCCAATCCCCACAGAATGTTATGTCAAATACGATATTCAAGTCCTTGAATCTGGCATTGTAATCACAACCTGCGCCGAAATTCGCGATCGGAGTACCCCAAGTCGCAGGATCGGGGTTACCGGTCCGGATATTCGCTGGTACATCCCGAGTAGCAAAGTACCATACTTTGATGCCAGAAGATGTCCACAAAGTGGCGTATACACCACCGCCATTAGCGTTGAAAGGTGTACCGTACGTGACGGGGTTGTTGGCTAAGATGCCGCAGCCGTTGAAGCCGCCGCCGGCACCGCAATCTCCTGCTAGACGGCTTCCAGTTTCCCCACCCGGGCCGATGGAAGGATTGCAACCCGGGGATGTGTGGAGAGTGACCTGATTGGAAGGGCTCATGTGTACGCCTTCGTAGATGTCTATCTCGCCTTGGTTTGGCCAGTTAGGACCGACCATCCAACTGTGCAATGTAAGCGTGACGTGGTATGACAGAGCAGGCAGATGACTCACAAAGCTGGCCATGAACCGCATGCACTCCCAGGAACATGTGCGAAGTCTGCAATAACAAGCGCACGGTTGTAGGCTGTCTTGCTTTGGACACGTACACTCTTTCGACCGGGGCCATTGGGGTCGAGTCGAGATGTTGAGTCTACACCCATGTATACCTGGCCGTTCTGTGTCTTCATTAGACCGAGCTGCTGGGCTTCTTGCGCATTGACATAGTCCACAAAGCCATCTACGATTGTTGTCAGGTTCTACTACTGGAATGAGGACCAACGAACATACGCGTGGGGTCGGCAATGTCCTGGACATCAAACTTGCTCGCCCAGTTACTCGAGTCGTACGTATCGATCAAGTTGTAGGCAGCCGATGCATGCACATCATTTGAAGAGGAGTAAGCAAAGGAGGTTCCATTAGGCCATGAACCAGGTCCTGCTGGTAGTGCGGTAGCACAGCGCCAAAGGAACGGAATAGAAACGAACAGTGACTTGAGGGACATGATGTTGTATGTACAAAAGGTTGAGATGTGTCGTCGTACAGACATCAAAGCCGGGATTATTTGATATACTTATAGCCATGCGCATCTTTTTCGCAATGAATATGTGCATGCTCATATGCCCCTTGGCTAAGGACGAACGACACACTTGGGTCGGCTGCACTTGGCAGCGGGAGATCCTGTCGGAGAGATTGCATGACCTACTGGCTCGCCGTATACACATACCATTGGTCGTCGAAAGCAGATTAGGGACAAAAGCCTTGCAATGTTACAGCACTTGTGAGGACGTAGTCGCAAACTTCGAATGGTCCCGGAAAATTCGCCCAGTTGAGCAGTTCGAAATTGCTTGTAGAAAAACGTGGACGTGCCGCATGATGAAGGTCTAGACACTTGTAGCCTCGTGGTAGGAGTAGTGGCGGCTAGGCTCGCTGGATGTTTGGCGGTTTCAGTAGTTTTGCTGGTGAACTGCTTCTGAGGCTCGTGAGTGGTGGAGAGGTATCGCCATTTCATCAAACGGGCCCTATTCCCGCGGACCGCATCGCGACGCGACAAGTGAGCCGAGGAAAAGACAAGGTGTTCTGGGGAGAAATGAACAGTTCCGGCTGTGAAACGGAGTTGATTGAAACCGAGCTCACGACTTTGCTTTCTCCAGACGTTGGTCCAACGTACACCCTGTGGTCTGTTCGGGGATAGCGCTGTCACCGCTTGAACAGCGACTGCCTACTTTGCCCGACGCATCCTACTCTCCCACTCATGCTAGGATCATCTCACAGAGCCCCGAGACCGAAATGAGTCGATTTGCGGTTGGTAACAAAGAGATTTAGACGAAGTTTTGGAAAGTTGTGATACCGACCCCGCAGTGCCTTTCCCCATGGTTGTAGCATCTGATGATGTTCGAGGTCACACCGGGCGGCTCCCGCGTCACACAGGGACTTTTCCGACGGCGCATTTATCGGTGTATGCCTTAACCCCGGATTAGCATCGCATGCGGGGGGCTCGCGTGGTTCTACGTAGCACTGCTTAGGTCGACTAGAGAAACTAAGTGCATACCTTCTGTGTCTCCTGTTACGAACCCTTCACCGCTCAAACCGCACGATAGAAACTTGCTGAAGAGCCAATACCAATCGACCTCACGGAAAAACAGGTCGGGTACATCGTTATGACGAGGAAACTTGATGTGTTACCTAGGTAGTTGCGGTCGCAACCGTCGAGGACGATTCATTACACACAACCTTGTATCAACGCGGATTCCAGGAACCAAGAATGGTATTTGACAGGAGACGATAGAACCGTGACACGAAGCCAAAATATTCCTATCGTCATCCAGGATACAGATCTACCAATCATACTGTTGTCAGTGTACATATACAGCACCGTATTGGAAGCGGCATATGTTGACACACGGCTTGCTTGAACAAAGAGAAGATATAGACCCGACACTAAGATGATATTGGCTGTGCTACCCATCATAGCCACTAGCGTATCTGCTCAACGCATAGACTTCAGTTGTTCCGTTCTCACTGTCCAACAGCACTCATCACTCTTCATGTTCCAAAGCTGACATTCTAACACCTTACACGTATGGCTAGTCATCATGTGTGCTGTCGTTTTATATGTGTCATTTACTAGAAGTTACGAAGCCAACTCCAACGATTATAGTCAACTCTATAGCACTCAAGTTGCACAGCTATCTGTGCATAGTATCGGGAGCCGAGGATGAAAAAACCAATTTGACTATCACGGATCAGTCACTCTTGTTCCATCGTCCACTGAGTTCCCCAGCCGGCTACACTATGCGCTTCTCTCTGCTTCGTAGGATGATTGAAGACGCTCTGACTCTTGGCTGTAGGGTCAGATTTTGTCCTCTTCATATTCAAGATGTGGAAGCATGGTGACATTGTGATCTAAGCACATACTCGCGGATCACCGTGAGATCAGCACAATAGCAGTCAAAAGCTCTGTTCAGATCATTTTTAGTACAAAATTGATGAGTCTCATGTTGATTTCCACTCGTGGAGGCTTCCATGCTCAGGTGGAGTTTCCGCCCTCTTCGTACGTGAGCGTCATACAGCTGAAATGTCATATAGAAAACCTCACCACACTGCATCAATGTGGGAAAAACAATGAGATACTGACTCAATTTTGTTGCGTGCTGAGGTACAAGCTACTTTCGATGGAAAGAAAATGTCCGTTGAACGCACCACAAGATATATAGTCGGCAAGATGAAAGACTTTGTTGTCGCTTGAAACCTCGAGTATAATCATCGCGAACAGTTCTTAGAGGCACGTATTGGTGAACATTGTTCACACTTTAAACTACTGATCTCATTCACACCTAGCCTCGGTATGCTTCACTTTCCTGTAGTCGCCGTGGTGAACACTCACAATATCACTCACTGTAGCATTTGTCATATTCTTCTACTCGCAAAAGCAGTGTAGCAGACTCATGTATTCACCAAAATGTAGGGCCTTTGTTGCTCACTCCGGTGGTACAATGACTCCCTTTGGACTATATGAACAGATTTTACCATGCTTTACTTTAGGCATAGCCGCAAAGTACAACTGAGAAGCAACAGCAACGAGAAACGCAACGGAAAGTACGAACAGCATCGGCTCACGCAGCCCTACCACGTCTTCGAAGACATGTCTTCTTCAAAGAACATGCAAAAGCTCGCCTCTATCTTCGGAAGCATATCCTTCGGCTGGATCTGGTGGCTTCGGAGTCTCGACACCAATCCTGTTACTACTCCATACCCAATTTGGTGGTATCTCTTCAGCACATTGTCACTAGGTGGCTGGCTCATTTTCATAATCTACTACACCATAATCAATTCCAACCGAGAGAAAACTCCGGGTCCCAAGCCCCATGAGCTATGGAATCTTCTTCACGTCGTGCCAATGGCACTTCTAAACGCTACTGTCTTCAAAAGCTTGTCGGTCAAGGACAAAGGACTACTTTGGTTTTCGGCCTTAATGGCGTGGAGATACTATCGCACCATCCTCGCTCTATACTTCTACTTCCGGTACGAAATAGCGTCCAATGATTCCCTTCAGGATCTGAAGTTTAAGCCATCAGACTGCACCGTGATTGTACCAACAGTCGGCCCCACAAACAACCCAGTGTTTAGAGAGATGACCGAACAGATTCTTCGAAACAAGCCTGCCTGCTTGATCTTTTCTGCCAACAGTTCTAACGCCCAAGAGGATATCATGACCCACATTGAGGACTCTATCAAAACCTTCGGTTCGGAAATGGTCACGAAAATCAAATACACATGTGTCAATCATTCCAACAAGCGCAAGCAGACTTGTCACGCTATCGACATGGTGAAAACTAGGATTACTGTCATGGTCGACGATACTGCCATCTGGAATGAGCAGCTCTTGAACGCAACTCTTCCCGCCTTCAATGACCCAGATATCGGCCTTGTTGGGACGCGAAAAGTGGTGAGGTACATTCGCCCTAACCGTAATCCCAATACGAGTCTCATGCAGTACTACAAAGCATGGTATTGGGCCGGTCTCTGGAACACTATAGGCGCACTGTATCTCCAGCGTCATAGCTTTGAGACTCAAGCATCGAATACAGCTGATGGTGGTGTTTTTGCGGTATCTGGTCGAACCTTATTCATCTTGACAGCAATTGTCCGGAATGACCACTTCAAAGATCGATTCTTGAACGAACATGTTCTCAAATCTGTCTTCACTTGGCTGACCAGACTGACCAAGTGGCACATTCCGTTTGCAGATCAGATTCTTACCTACTTCGAGAAAAATGGCCTGAACCAAAACGGATTCGGGCCTCTTCTTGCCGATGATGACAATTTCATCACACGATGGACCATTGACCATGGATACAGCATTAAGATCCAGTCCTCGCCCAATGCAACCATGACCACGGTTTTGGGAAACGTAGAGACGTTCAAGTTCATCGATCAATGCAAACGCTGGAGTCGCACAACTTTTCGGCAAAATCCCATTGCGCTGTTCAGCGATCGCACTATCTGGTGGAAATGGCCTATTTCGGTATGGACAGTGTATTTCCCCTGGTTATACAACTTCGCAATGGTATGGGATCTTTTGGCAATCCTTGCCTTCTGTCGATCAGAACTGTACCTCGACTCCACTAATGGAAATACGAGACTCATTCTCCTGGTCTCTTTCATATGGCTGACCAAACTCATCAAAACCTTTCCGTGGTTTTGGGAACATCCTTACGATTTCTTGCTGTACTTTTGCCCCATTCCTGCTTATCCTATATTTGGATACTTCCATTCTTATTTGAAGGCTAAAACAGCGGCGACTTGTTGGAATAACGAGTGGAGTGGAAGGAACTTGAAGAAGGCAGAGGCTGTTGCAGGAGCCGTCTCAGGACGCAAGAAAGCGGAAGACGTTTCAGCAGTGGTAACAGGACTCAAAGACGAGTAAATCTGCGGATACGGCCACTCGCTCTCGAGAAGACCGACTGGCGCCAGGATAGAAGTCGAAATGATCAAGCTTGTAATATCTTGGATCGGGAGGGTGTTCGTTTGGCGACCTTCATTTCGTGTTTTGTTGTTTTCGATACCCAGTGTTTCTTATGGATGGTAGACGAGGACTTGCATTCTATTCCAGGCTTTTAGGTCAGCTTTGATCTAGATAGGCTATTGTAAGGCGTTTGATAGAAGGTCGCACGTGTACCTACTGGCAGTATAGATACCATGCTTTGTTTAGAGTGATTTTTACGTATGCCTTAGGATGGCCTCTGTGTCCAGGTTCCGGGTTATTGCTGCGAGAGATCACAGCTCACGGATGGGAGGCGGCAGCCTGTGTAAGTTGTGAACATTACGGAGCTTGGCACAATCCCAGAAGAATGCGACAGTGCGAACTTGATTGAACGTGGTATATGCTCTGTCGTAGAAGACATTTTACTATCACTTTCTAGAATGCTCAGCAGCGGCGACTTCCAGCGGCTGCGGGCCGTTCCAATACGTCATACATATCGGTCATGAGTAGATCCCATC